GGGCTTTATCACGTACCGAAATTTAACTAACCCATCTAATGATTGGTGCGAACTACGTGAGGATATAATAAGACGAGCCTTTTCTCTTCGGGTTTTATATGTGATTGCATTATTGAAGATATCTTTCTTATCTTTAATTTCTTGAAGGTTGAGAGCATGGCTGAGCTTCCCCCATAAATTTTTAAGGTGGCGTCGTACATCTTGTCTTTTAATTGGTTCCCCCAAAACCCAACCACCGTCCAAAAGCGATCCACAGTTTTTTGTTCGAATCAACACCCCTATTCCACGAGTCATCACAAGCTAACCCATTAATGATATCACTATCGAGTAACGTTAGGAAATCGGGAGGGACTTCGAGTGACCTGAGAAGATTATTATGATTGGCCGATATTGCTTCATGGATTAATGTTTCGATTAATAGACTTTTCGTTGAAATTTCGCTTCGGGTCTTGGTTTTTTTTTGATGAATTACTATCCATAGAGGTGAGAGGGTTATACATAGGCCACGAGTAGCATACTGGGTTCTATGCTTAATTACAAAATATTTGTTTTTCGTAAATTAATGTAAACCAGACTTGAGTTAAAAAACATATCTCTAGAGCGACAAGATTACACTTTATCGATGTGGGTACATTTCAATACTCGATCATATCACGGAGCTCATGCCAAGGCATAGAAAAATCGACATATAAACTTTGTTATCCAATAAAAGACACACCACATGAAAATATCGACATAATATATAATCTCCCCAACTCGAATTCTTTATTAGCAAAGCCAGTATGACCGATGACCGATACAATAAAAATACATGTTAATTTATACATTATCTCTATACTTACCTAATAATTATAGGGTTGAGATGAAACAGTAGGACTTGGGTTAACATTTCGGGGTGGATGAGTATTAGCTTGTTCTAATGCCTGCACTAATAAGCTTTTGTTAACGATCATTATGTTTCTTAAGGTTAATAATAAACGAACTAAATATTTAGTGTGCGATGAATGTGGTGTTAATGAAATTTCGGAGTGGTCTAGGTAGTAATATCTTGGTATACCACCCAAGTCGTTTAGCAGAACATTGAGACGCAAGTCCGTACCGGCAATCTGGAGCCCTACGATGCCAAATTGGTTTCTGACTGGTCTACATGATGAACCTATAAAGCTCATCCCATCTAATGTTTCTCTCCATAATTTTACGTCATCATCTACTTTTTTCGAATTAGAACAGATGATACGTGAAGACTCGACGTACATCAACTCTAAAATCTTTTCATCCTGTTTCAGCAACCCATAATATCAGGCTTCTTTCCCATTCTCTCTTCATTTACTCGTATACTTCGTCTAGCTTTGCTTGCTAGACTCTGGCGCTCTGCCGTACTTAGGCAAACAATATCGCCTCCCAAACTCGATCGAAGCAAACGTCTGTGACGTAAGTACCTTCACTTTGTTCACTGCGAGATGTACTAGTCATAAATGCGGGATTTTTCCATATCTCGCCACTAATGCATAGAATACATCGACATGACGTGGTTAGATAAAAGTGTACTAGTAGCCTGTGAAAACGTATATCATATATCAGGAAATTACTTAGCAGTGTTCCAAGAATACGTTCGGTTATTTTTATTATCGTATGTTCATCCTCTTTCCATATTTTATCATGGGAAGTATTCCTCATAACCCACTCGCTTCGGGATCACGCCACGTAAGATTCGACACATCTGCATTCTCGATGGTTTGCCTAAGCGAACCATAAAGACTCGTATCCGTTTCCGACGCAGGATGCTAGACATACAATCCTATTAGTTTTGAGAGTAATAACGCTTTATACTGTTTTATACTTGCCTCAAGTTTATATTTCAATTCATTAATATTCTCGTCTATTTCTTCCCGAGATCGATATGGGTACAATTCCTTTTCTACGTATATTCAATGACTTGAACGCCTTAAGACCTCGAACGCTAATATACCCACTCTCAGCCTATGGTAAATGCAATACGTATCCGGTGAACACATCTCAATGACGTAAAATTTATAAATAAGTACGTGTACTGAAACATTTGATTTTTCTAAAAAATCGTCGTTTTGTCTTTATGGAAAATCCGCAAACCCCCCCCCCATGTCTGACATCACCGAAATAATGATATTTTGTCTCGTTCTAGGTGACGCTATTAAAAATTCTTTCCCGGTCGAC